TCCCCCAACCACACACACCTCCCCCAACCACACACACCTCCCCCAACCACACACACCTCCCCCAACCACACACACCTCCCCCTACCCACACACACCTCCCCCTACCCACACACACCTCCCCCAACCACACACACCTCCCCCAACCACACACACCTCCCCCTACCCACACACACACCTCCCCCTACCCACACACACCTCCCCCTACCCACACACACCTCCCCCTACCCACACACACCTCCCCCAACCACACGGAGGAACCTGGTGTTGACAACTCCCGAAATTTGTCTTCCCCCCCCCCCCCCCCCTCCCCCACCCTCCCCCTCCCACACGTAGGAACCTTGTGTTGACAACACCCGAAATAACATCTTCCTCAAACTCTGAGTCGTGCCGTGATCGTAGAAATATTTCATTGGGTTGGGACTGTGTGCCCGGAAATGTTGTCTTTGGGGTTGTTTTTTTATTACCTTAAAAGCTTTAGGGGGATAGTTGTAGTTCACTAGGATTTTGCAAGTGAGATCTGATAGAGTGAAAACAAGTTTGTTATCTACACTGGGTTTCTACACTGCGTTAAGGCTAGGGTTGGAAGTTGGACGACACGTCAAGCTACGTTAGTTTTAATTTTATTCTATTGTTATTTTTGCTGTTTGGTGATATGCTTTAACACATTATACACATTCTTCCTAGTATACTGTTTATGAAAGTTAAACGTCAGAATGGTATGGGTTTTTTTTTAAAGTCTCTTAATCGAATATTTTAAAAGTTGTTTCTTTTTTTAAAAATCTATTTTTGACCACGGATGTTTTAGAGAGAAAAAAATGTTTGATTGATTAAGGTGGAAAAATGTCAATGGGATAGGGGAGCGTGGATAACTATAAACATCATTTAGTGAGTGTTTTACTTTGCGACGATGAGAATGGGGGTTTGTAAAAGGGCAAAGAAATCTTAACTTTATATATGCCGTAGTAAACATTGCCACGTTTTCTTTGGGATTTGGTGTGTGGAGATGGGGGGTGGCAATTTGAAGGATTGATATCCGCAAAAGAACTCACTTCTATGAGGTAGGTGCAGTAAAACAGGACTCGACTCAACCTCGTTCGACACGATGACCCATTTTTTGTCCCCTCCCACGTGGGCCGCTATAAATCGATGACAGAAAAATTAAAAAAGTAAACCAAGAAAGAAAAAAAAAGCCGTGATGTTATTTTAAAAATGTCACTAAAGCCTTCTGAAACTATGACAGTGAACGTTGGTTACAGTAAACCGGTGGAACTCGCGTGACATCGACTGCACGTCAAGAGACAGGTTTATGTCGTAAGCTGATAAAAGGGGCGGGTCTGTCATCGGTAATAACTCCCCCCTCTCCCCCCACCCCTCCCCAGAGTTTTGTTATGTTCGGTAATTTTTTTTTATAATTTCTCGTATTCTATCTTTGGTTCTGTTTTTACAGGACACAAAAAATACGGCTGAGCTTATAATAGGATCTTGTTTTACTTATGTCTATAAATGGTTGTCGTAAAATAGTGTTGAGAAAACACACTTTTTGCTGTTATAAAAATAAAATCGTATGGTATATATAGCTGGGTGGATAGATTGGTGGGGTTTTGGGGGGTTTTGGAGGGTTGAGATGTTTTGGATAACTTGAAGGTTTTTTGATATGTTGAAGTGCTTTGGACTGGTTGAAGATTTTCTATATGTTAGGGGGGTGGGGGGGGGGGGGCTTTGGATAGGCTGAAGAGTTTTGGATTGGTTAGAAAATGTTCGGGGGTTTTAGATAATATGTTGGAGGGTTTTGACTAGGTTCCGGGGTTTCGTGCAGGCTGAAAGGTTTTGGATGGGTGTGTGGATGGATGTTATTTTCCCGAATAGAAATCTTAGAGCATGAACATGAATTTATTCATGACATTATGAACATTTGTTTTAAATCCATTAGGATCTGTTACTTTTGATCCAATAGTATTTGTTACTTTTGTTGCAACAGGATCTATGTAGTTCCATTAGAAAACGCTACTTTTAATAGCTTTCTACCCCTCTACTTTTGTCCCCATGTAATGAAATTTTCAATATAAACTAGGCACTTCTAACGCTGCCATTTTTTAAATTGTGATGTACGTTGTTCTAACTAGTTAAAACATAGAGCTGATGATTATAGCTGTTAGTGCGACGTTTTAATGGTCTTCCTGATTGCATGCGTTTGATTGCATCGTTGTTGTTTTTAAGTTTGGTATTAAATTGTGTCGTCACACTGGTTGGGGATGAAAAGGTTTAAATCTTGTCTTTGACGGTGGAAAATTAGATTTTATTGAGTGGTTTCTGCACAGCCAGACGCTGATGTCATGTGGTGCCATACACTGGTGGCAAGTGCTGACGTATGTGACATTGGTGTCATTTCATGCCATATGTTACATTGGTGTCATATGATATTATAATTTACATTAGTAACATGTGGTGCCGAATGTGACATTTTGTGACATGTGGCGCCGACTGTGACATTTGGTGACATGTGATGTCGTATGTGACATTTGGTGTGGCTTTCGTGTCATATGGTACCACATTAGGATGTTACCAGTAACAACACCAAGGAGGAAGTGTGCATTGGGTAATGTCCTAGACCAATTCCTAACTTACATACTCTAGTGTTGTCTATTCATTGTTATTAGAGTGACATGCTGCCTTCTGCCAATTCATTGAATCGCCTAAGATATGTCTCTACAGTTACCAAACTCTATAGCAACGCACCGTGTAACTTTAAACTTAGCTTCTTTTAATGCATTGAACAACCTAAGACAGTTCACGAAAGGCACTTAACGGGGCCCGACTTAGACGCACCGCTCCTGATTTAGCTCTGAACCAAAGCTGTTGAAGATTGGAAGACGGGATGTATGGCATAGCTACCCGTCCACTCTGTGATTGTGGGGTGTTCAGCCCTGCCGTAAACAGACGGCCTGTCGCAAAAAGATGTTTAATCATCGCTTTTGCTAGAACTTGCTGGATTCTTTGATTGATTCCTTCCGTCTCTTTGTGTATGCTTTGTTGAAGATGTTTACATTCAATACCATTCGGTACCATGATTGTTTTTGTTGATTGCTGAAATACGCGGTCTCCGATATATACCAGAAATCCCCGAGGTTTTCAACGATAACTAAGAAAATATTTTTAAGATGTCGATTATGTTTTGTCCCTTCTTTCTATTATCTTTTTTTTCTTCACTACTCTTCTTCGATCTTAATTGTAATTTTGGAAGGCTTTTCCTCCGGCACAATTAAGTATTACGTGTCAACATGTTATGCTCCCGATTTAAGCCAATTTTTCGATTTAGATTTGCTACAGTTGCTTTTGTCTATCAAATAACAATCTGCAAGACTGCAGTTGTTTGATTTTTTTTTTATTTTCTCACCTTGCTGTCCATAGCTATCGAGCCTCATCGGCCCAGGGTTTCAAACTCGGGACTTTTCGGTTTAGTAACCATGAGCTGACCCATCTCGACAACTTGAATGTACTTATTCTAATCCATTTTTTTTCCCTGATTTTTAAAAAAAATTCCATTTGTTACCAGTTCAACTTTATTTTCTCTGTTAAATGTTACTGTATAAGTAAGCGTATCATTGTTATCGTGTATCGCGGCCAGCCTTGGTCCGTATATCCTAGTCTTGTGGATAGTTAAATGTCATATTGACATTACCAGGTTACTGTTTTATATGACTGCTAGTCTTATGGATAGTTAAATGTCATATCGGCATTACCAGATTACTGTTTTATATGACTGCTAGTCTTATGGATAGTTAAATGTCATATCGGCATTACCAGGTTACTGTTTTATATGACTGCTAGTCTTGTGGATAGTTAAATGTCATATCGGCATTACCCGGTTACTGTTTTATATGACTGCTAGTCTTATGGATAGTTAAATGTCATATCGGCATTACCAGATTACTGTTTTATATGACTGCTAGTCTTATGGATAGTTAAATGTCATATCGGCATTACCCGGTTACTGTTTTATACGTCTGCTAGTGTCTTCGCTCCTATCAAATGATTGCAATCACGGCCTAGTTTACAGCCATTTATAGCCATTATAAGACCTATAAAATCTGTTTTTCTTTTTTTTTATGTTTGTTATTTTGGTTCTTATCAATTAAACGTACCCTCAGACAGGCTTATGATATAGCTGGCATCGCCGATAACATGTGTTTAATTTGTAAAGTGTAAAGGTAGCTTTACGGTTCAAGGCAATGTTATAGTTGGATTTTATATTGAGATATCGTTAGTTGTGATGTATGCTATTCGAATTTGTAGCCTTGACTCGTCGACTAGTATCTCGCATAAAGTTAGTAACTCATGAACCTGTAAATGAATCTACTTGTGCTATCTAAAACGTTAATAACCACCCCTCCCTTTTCCGATAAGATGGGCTATATTGTATTCGTAATGTGTGACCATATTTTTTTAATGTTTAAAGGGTCGGCTTAGTTGGGTTGATAAAGCTCATGGTTGCCAAAATAAAAAGTCCCGAGTTCGAACCCCTGGTCAGGTGAGGCTCGATAGCTGGGGACAGCAATCTGTATAGGAGAGGAAACTTAAAAAATCAAACAACTGGTGCATTATAGTTTGTTCTTGAGTGGGCAAACGCTATGGAAGCAAATCCAAAAAGTAAAGCAGGCTGAAATCGGAGTCAACGGCCTATATGGTGTATACCAAGTTGACACGCAATACTTGTTTTCGAGGAAATGCCTTCCAACAATACAATTAAGAACGAAGAAGAACACAGCCTTTAAAATGTAACACGCCATCTCCAAACATCAAGCCACATCTTAGCAAGTAAATTTAAATCTCAACACACCTTCTGCATTATCACACACACAGTCGAATATTTAACTCCTCTTCTATTTTAACTCATCTTTAGCTTCTAAAATACACAATACACTCATCTTTATTACAAAACAAGGTAAGAACGAAGAAGAATGTTCTGTCGTGTAATCTAACGGTTTACTTTTCCCCTCCAGATGAGATGGCTGAGCTACAGGCTACCATAGAGATCTCTGTGGAGCTGAATAAATTCTACAATGTGGACCTTTTCCAGCGAGGGTAAGTAGTGCCACTGTGTGTGTCAATCCGCGAGGGGAAGTAGTGCCACTGTGTGTGTCAAGCCGCGACGGGAAGTAGTGCGACTGTGTGTGTGTCAATCCGCGAGGGGAAGTAGTGCCACTGTGTGTGTCAATCCGCGAGAGGAAGTAGTGCCACTGTGTGTGTCAATCCGCGAGAGGAAGTAGTGCCACTGTGTGTGTCAATCCGCGAGGGGAAGTAGTGCCACTGTGTGTGTCAAGCCGCGAGGGGAAGTAGTGCGACTGTGTGTGTGTCAATCCGCGAGGGGAAGTAGTGCCACTGTGTGTGTCAAGCCGCGACGGGAAGTAGTGCCACTATGTGTGTCAAGCCGCGAGGGGAAGTAGTGCCACTCTGTGTGTCAAGCCGCGACGGGAAGTAGTGCCACTGTGTGTGTCAAGCCGCGAGGGGAAGTAGATCCACTGTGTGTGTCAAGCCGCGAGGGGAAGTAGTGCGACTGTGTGTGTGTCAAGCCGCGAAAGTAAGCAATGCGTTTGTGTGCTGGGTCAAATAGTCAAGCCGCGAATGTTATTTTTCTCTTTTTTTTCCTCCACATATTGTTACGTTTGTCTGTGGATAAATAATATTAAGCTTTTAAATGCACTGAAATAAGAAAATAAAACGAATTTAGAAATATCAATTCTTGCATTTTCACCGGATACGAATGTATCTGGAAATCGCTGCATCAGAACAATAAACACTGGGAACTGAATAAAAATCTATACAAAGAAAGAAAGATAATTATTGATCAAAATATTTCAATCGTAGTATGAAACAGTAGTAACAATTATACATGTAAATCATATAATGGACTCCTAGAATAACAAACTTACTTGAAACGCATATAATAAAATCAAGCATACAACAACGTTATCATATAAATAAATCATTCAAACGTCGTGTAAATTCACGCAAACTCGTTTTTCAATCTTATTCCTTCAACCTCTGTTATTCCGTCTCCACTAGCCCAATCAATCTGTTTGATCTCCATTATCGATCTCTACCGATACCCTTGTTCACGTTTAAATGAACTACCGTCAGGCAACCTGGTGATACGGAGTCGTGCGTCACATTTTCACATGGTCGCCGACTTTTTTGGCTAATAGTCGTCATACCAGTGTCATGGTTGGCTGATCCACAAATAGGAAGTTCGCGTGTCTTGATTGGCGGTCACATGGTGGAAAGTTCGCTTTGTTTCACCACCGGAAGGAATATTTGACGCACCGGAAGGAATATTTGACGCACGGGAAGGAATATTTGACGCACGGGAAGGAATATTTTACGCACGGGAAGGAATATTTGACGCACGGGAAGGAATATTTGACGCACGGGAAGGAATATTTTACGCACGGGAAGGAATATTTGACGCACGGGAAGGAATATTTGGCGCATGGGAAGAAATATTTGACGCACCGGAAGGAATATTTGACGCACTGGAAGGTATAATTGACGCACGGAAAGAAATATTGCAGGTTTACCAGACAAGACATTTCATGGAATCCACAAGGGTCTAGGAAAAGAAGGCGGTCCAAAAACAGCTGGCGCTTAGAAATCGGTGACGTTAAAATCATTGGAGGGAGACAGGGATAAAAAAAATAGCACAGGATAGACAAGCATTGAAATATATTGATGGGCTATGCTCCATTGGGAGTTGTAAAAAAAATAAGAAGGAGAAGTATTTTTAGGCATCATCAGTGTAAGCATTTGGGCGAACCGTTTCGGCATTTTTAGGATAAATGTATTTAAAATAAAACAGTATGATCGTTAAAATAGAAACTTCTTATTTGATAATCATCTGGTGGTTGAGAGTAGTAAGAATTATCACGTGTGTATGTTAAACTAAAGTGTTACCACAAACTCGTAGACTTTTTTAATAACATCTCTGAGGGAAAAACTCAAAAACTGTCAACTAGTCAATAAAACAACAATGCCAGACTACTCGACGGGCTGAACAAAGGCAATTTCCATTTACAAAAATTAAAAATTTCCAGCGATCATTGTGTTGTACATGAGCAAAGTAATTTGATAACGTTGGTTCTGTGATGTTTATTTTTAATATAACAGTATTTTGTTCTCATAGTTTTTTCTTGCCTCGTGCTTTTTATCCCGTCATTTTGTTCCTCTGTAATCCTGGGCGTATTTATTCTACTTCCTCTGTGTCCTTCTGCGTTTATTTTTTAAATCTTTTTCATCCCTCCACCCCCGCCACAAGTCCTCATGTCACCCCGAGTGTCTCCGTCCTCATGTTCTGCCAAGTCTCTTAGTTTTTCTTTCAGCCCCCTCTTACCCACTCGTCTCTTTCTCTGTCCTCTCGTCCCTACGACAACGCCCTCCTGATGGTTCTTAGGTCCTTTTTCTCCTTTGCTGTCCCGTCCTCCTTTCCCTCCCACTCCGTCCTCCTTTCCCTCCCACTCCGTCCACCCTCCCACGCAATTCAGATGTCCCTCCCACGCAATTCTTATTTCCCTCCCACGCAATTCTTATTTCCCTCCCACGCAATTCTTATTTCCCTCCTACGCAATTCTTACGTCCCTCCCACGCAATTCTTGTGTCCCTCCCACACAATTCTTACGTCCCTCCCACACAATTCTTACGTCCCTCTCCAGCCATTCTTACGTCCCTCTCCAGCCATTCTTACGTCTCTCCCACACAATTCTTACGTCCCTCCCACACAATTCTTACGTCCCTCTCCAGCCATTCTTACGTCCCTCCCACACAATTCTTACGTCCCTCCCACACAATTCTTACGTCCCTCCCACACAATTCTTACGTCCCTCCCACACAATTCTTACGTCCCTCCCACACAATTCTTACGTCCCTCTCCAGCCATTCTTACGTCCCTCCCACACAATTCTTACGTCCCTCCCACACAATTCTTACGTCCCTCTCACGCAATTCTTACGTCCCTCCCACACAATTCTTACGTCCCTCCCACGCCGTTCTTATGTCCCTCCCACGCAATTCTTATGACCCTCCCACACAATTCTTACGTCCCTCCCACACAATTCTTACGTCCCTCTCACGCAATTCTTACGTCCCTCCCACACAATTCTTACGTCCCTCCCACGCCGTTCTTATGTCCCTCCCACGCCGTTCTTATGTCCCTCCCACACAATTCTTACGTCCCTCCCACACAATTCTTACGTCCCTCCCACACAATTCTTACGTCCCTCTCACGCAATTCTTACGTCCCTCCCACACAATTCTTACGTCCCTCCCACGCCGTTCTTATGTCCCTCCCACGCCGTTCTTATGTCCCTCCCACGCAATTCTTATGACCCTCCCACGCAATTCTTATGTCCCTCCCACGCAATTCTTACGTCCCTCCCACACAATTCTTACGTCCCTCTCCAGCCATTCTTACGTCCCTCCCACACAATTCTTACGTCCCTCCCACACAATTCTTACGTCCCTCTCACGCAATTCTTACGTCCCTCCCACACAATTCTTACGTCCCTCCCACGCCGTTCTTATGTCCCTCCCACGCCGTTCTTATGTCCCTCCCACGCCGTTCTTATGTCCCTCCCACGCCGTTCTTATGTCCCTCCCACGCCGTTCTTATGTCCCTCCCACGCCGTTCTTATGTCCCTCCCACGCCGTTCTTATGTCCCTCCCACGCAATTCTTATGACCCTCCCACGCAATTCTTATGTCCCTCCCACGCAATGCTTATGTCCCTACTACTCCGTCCTCCTTTCCGTCCTGTCCATCCCCTCGTCCCCCCTCCCCTCCATTAAATACCTTGAGCATCAGAGCATATTCCCACCGATCGATAACGAGATATAGTTATTGATTTCCCGGCACTGATTCTCAGCTTACCTCCTGGTTAACGGAGCTTGAGTTGATGTCATTAGGGCCGGCTTTTATGTCATTTACTTGTCATCTGGTTAACATGGCTTGTAAATGTCATTAGGGCCGGCTTGTATGTCATTTACTTGTCATCAGTTTAAAATACCTTCAGTTGATGTCATTCGTGCTGGGTGCTATGTCATTTATTTTTCAATATATTCTAGAGTAGGTTAACATAGGCTCTTTATGTTTATTACTTACTTCCCGCAGAAGTCAACCCGTTCTAGAACAGGTTAAAATCTCTGCTCACAGCTCCCACATAGCCAGTCAACCCATTCCCGAACTGCTCGAAATTGTCTTTCTGTCAACCCGGGTTGTCGCCCTCGTTATTGCAGCTTCTATTGTCCAATCTGTCTGTGTTTGATCTATGGTATCGATTCCTCTCGACACGATTATTTATCGCTTTATTTACCTAGGAGGATTGCTTGCCACCGTACATACGGCGGCCATGGAATCTGTATGATACGGCGGCCATGGAATCTGTAAGATACGGCGGCCATGGAATCTGTAACATACGGCGGCCATGGAATCTGTAAGATACGGCGGCCATGGAATCTGTAACATACGGCGGCCATGGAATCTGTAACATACGGCGGCCATGGAATCTGTATGATACGGCGGCCATGGAATCTGTAACATACGGCGGCCATGGAATCTGTAACATACGGCGGCCATGGAATCTGTAACAAACGGCGGCCATGGAATCTGTATCCCGTATCTGTAACCAATAGAAAGAACGCTTAATTAACGTGGTATTTTGAGTTAGATCTAGACTGTAGAAGGAGCTTAGAATTGAAATATACTTCTTACGGTTTAAGGCATTTCAAAATACACGTCACGTCTATTTAAAAACGTCTCTAACAAGGCTTTAAAAACCTAGGTTTTTTTTTTTAATGTAGGATTATTAATTAATTATTTTTTTTTACTCTTGGGAGATTATTTTAGTCTTGGTTCAAATTAAAAATTCAATTTAGATTTTTAAAAATAATTATTAAAATTTGATGGCTATTGAGTTTTAAAAAAAAATTATCATTAAAAAACGAGTTGTAGTGCAGATGATCTGGTTATTAGAACTCATCATTTATTGAAATGTGTATTCAGCCCGCCTGCCTTGTTTGCAGGATACGAACGCTGCTA